GGTACGGGGGGGGTGCGGGGGGGGGGACACATGTCACACATGCACCTGTGGCAAACAGCTTGTCAGAGGGTGTTATTACACCTGCCAAGTGGTATATCCAGAAACAAAGGGCCCAGCTTCTAATTCAGCTGTGTGCAATATTTAGAGAAACCATTATACCAGGAAATAATCCTGCCTAAATAGGGCAGTCCTCACAGGCAGGAATGTAGATAGACCCATTGGCTATGGCCAAAGAATGACCTGTGTCAAAAATGCAGTTTCCTGGGCCCTGCCCCAAATTTAATCAGAAGACTGCATTTCTAACATTCCAAAACCTTAGCTTTGAGTGCCACAGATTCTCTTCATTGGATTAGGAAGATTTTGCTGTGAAGGCCTAACAGCCTCATGTCCACATCAGCCAGTGGGAGTATACTGGATCTGAGAAGAAAAATTCTCTACCATTAGGCAAAGACACACTAGAAACAACAATACAAGACAATAGATGATTAAGTGCCAAAGTGTGTAGTTCAAACCCCAGGCACCAAGGGTGATCACAAACAGCAAAAATTCCAGTAGGAGGAGAATGTTATCCCCGATAAATATATGTTGAGACTTTACAGGGCATCTGCTCCTTTTTTTCAGAGGTACAGACCTGGTTCTGAGAATCCCTGGTGGTAAGGTTGGGGTCTACCATGCACTTTATACCCACTGTGGGGTCAGGCATGCAGTCACTGAAAGGAGCCCAGATTCTGGAGTTAAACCTTGGTTTAAATTCGAGTTCTGCCATTTTCTTGCCTTGGGCAAATTACTCTGCCTCAGTATAAAATGGTGGTAAAAGTACACAGCTGCACTTGTGGAAAAAAAATGAAAGCATGTCTGTAAAGCAGAACAGCACTTACAACACAGTAAACTTCAATATACGTTAGATTGCAAAAAGCCAAAAGGCCCATTTCTGCCCACAATATCTTTGGGCACAGAAGACAGACATTAAAAGGGGAATAAAACAATGCGTACTAAATGATAACCTGAGAGAAGACGGACTGAGGAGCCAGGACAGGTAAGGAGGAGGCACCAGTGAAGACCCAGAAATGGGATTTGGTGTCTACTGGAAATAATGAGCACAACTCAAGTTTGTGTAGAGTAAGAAAGGAATGGTTCATTAGATTGGCCCATTAAACACCAAGCCAAATGGTTTGTGAGGAGTCCCTGAAACTTGCTGGATGAAGTGGTTTAACTGCCCTATGAAAAGTCGGCTTCAAATTTTCCTCAAACTCTTCCTCTTTCCATGCAAAGCTGGCAATAACTTACAAAGATTTAGGCAGCAAAGCATAAGACGAATGGCAAGTTGGTAGTGACACACTGACATAGCAGAGGCTCAGTATTTGTAAAATGAACGTAGAAGAAGGAGCCAATGAAGAAGAAATGGTCATAGTAGCAGGAGAAAAAATAGGATAGTGCCCTTGAAAGGAGTCAAGGAGGAAAGTTTCAAGGCTGATGGAATAACAATAATGCTACAAACAAGTTTAACAGATTTGACTGAACATCTACTCTACATGCAAAATACTTTGAACTAAAACGATGTTCTGGTACAATTGGAAGATGTGCAGTAGCTCATTGTAGTTAGAGCATGGTATGTGGTAAAGGAGGGAAGAGGAGGTGGAGGAAGCCACAAAATCATTTGAGGCTAAATTATAAACAGGCTTGAACGCCATAATAAAGGGTTTGAACTTTGTCCTAAAAACCAGTAGTCTCCAAACATTTTCTTAAAATGTACCTCTTCGATGAAAAGTCTTTGGCATATATCTTTTTACATGTTTGTTTAATTATAAATTATATATACTAGTCATTATGCTTATTTATAAACCATATACAAGCAAATTTAAATATATATATTAGAAAACAAAAACAAATGTCAACAGTTAAGATAAAAACAAATTGAAAAAATTGAAATTAATTTCTAATAGTATTTTTTTT